TCATGCTGACATTGAGAAAGTATGTCTTTTGGTTTTTGTTATGCAGCTTTGTGCACATAAGCATAAAACTGAGAATAGTAGATCTACGCGTAAGGCTTATTTTATCACATCTTAATATTATAATTGGGTGACGCGTGGGCGGGCGTGGGGAGAAAAGGCCTCCAGGCTGCTCTTACCTCTTTGTGCCCCAGGCTTTGGCGTCTCAGCAGAGCCGGGCTGGAACCTTAATGCAAGAAATGGGCTCCGTTCTGCCCTAACTCATGAGACTGATTTGTGCTAGAAAACTAATTTAATAATTAAGATAGGAAATATGACTGCAAGTGCTATTCATGTTGGTCAGAAAGGACTTTTTTTCCCCCCAGTAGGGAAACCTATTGGGAAATGAAAATAAAATCAGATGGTTGCTTAGTATGACTATAGGAGACCCCAGAGCAAGTACGATTCCTCTCGTCTGGGTGTCTGTTGGTTGGTCCGTGTGCCCTCCCCAGTCAGTGCTGGAGACATGTCCTAGATTCCCCAAGCGGTCCTTTCAGTTCTTTGATTAAATACATATGAAATTAACTGACAAAAAAGTACTCCCAATGTTTTCAGTATTTTTTTTAAATTGCACCAATATTTACATCTCAAGATCCAGAATTATGTGAGGGAAAGAACTTATAATCTAGTAAGTATTCATCTCTCTCGTAAAATAATTATCCATTATATGTATATAATTGTTTTAGTGCATTTATTCCTCCAGTAGGTGTTTAGGGATCTCCTACTGGGTCAGGCATTGTGCTCAACCCTGAGACTGAGCCGGTAGGCAGGGCAGACGTTCTCTTTACCGCTGTGGAGCCCACAGTGTAATGAGAGAGACAGGAAATGGAAATGGCACTGTGACTTAGAAGTAGAGTTTTGGAAAGTGTGACAGTTGAAATGGGAACGGGGCTCTGTCGTCCCTTTGGGTCCTTCCCAGGGCTGTGCAGGCAGGCTGGGGGCTGTTGCTCTCGCTGTCCAGGTAGAATCCAGCTGCGGTGAAGTAGAGTCACTGTCCCGGGGACCTCTTAGGGACAGAGTTGCAAAGTGGAGACGAGAACCAGACTTTCTTCCTTCTTCCCGTCCAGTTTCCTTTATGTACACAGCGGGCGGGTTCGCCACTTTTTGGTGAAGGCTGTGTCTGTGTCACCTACACATTAATCATTTTGAGTTATATAATTACTGATTAAAAATACAACTTAGTTTTGTAGAAAGTTTCACAAATAGGAATATCTAAATCTTATAATACAAAGCAGTCTCTTCTACTTTTTTCACTTGAAAAAGAAAACCCAAAAACCTCTGGAAGATATTCAGGCTCATAGTGCACGGGAGGTATTTATAGCACAGATCTGATGCACTCTGCTTCTAGGCTGGTCCTTCATTGGTGTGCTCATTCTTCTGTGTGCCAGGCACTGTCGGAGGTACGGGAGGAGCAGACAGAATAGACAGAGGAGCCGGACCCCACAGAGCATGCGTGGTGGCGGGAGGAAGCGGGGGCAAGCCGCAGAGTGATGATTGAAGAGGATGGAAAGTGTGTCAGGCTGTGCTTTCAGGTCCAGGTCACCGTTTACGTACGACGTACGTGACGCTGTGACGATAGGTGTTGAGGGGCACCTTCCCCGGTCCAGGTGGTGAGGGGAGATGCCGCCACGGCGGGGGACCCGGATGATGGGGGAAAGGTCTGCAGAGGAGGAGCTCCTCCTGACTACTTTATGACACTGCTAACATCCTGTGGCTTTTTGATAATAATTTCTGTCTTTGGGCAAATGTTTCAGTTTTTAGGGAATTGAGCTGTGTGTTTAAGTTGTGAGAAGCAGCAGGATGGCATGATGGAGAGAGGAGAGCACTGGCCTTGGAGTCAGACACGTGGATTCACACCCTGACTCTGCTGCTGCTTGGTTATGTGAACTCGGCCAGTTGTTAACCCTCTGACGTCAGGATCACCCCCACTTCCCAGGGATGTGAGGACTCAGGAGATGGTGTATCTGACTCAGTACACCTCACCAGTAGTGCTTGCGTTCCTGGGGTCCCGGGAGGTGTTGTGGTGTGAAGAGTGTGCGCTCTGGAGGCTGGACCCTGGTCCCTCTGTGAATTCCTGCCTAGACCTTACCAGCTCTGTGACCTTGAGCAAGTTGTCAACGCAGGTGAAGGAGACGATAGTTGGTAGAGCACCTGGAACAGTGCCTGGCACATCGTAAGGGTTTAGAAAATGTTAGTTATTCTTACTGCATATTATAAAACTAGTACAGTTCCTGTCACATAGAAGGTCCCAGATACATGTCAGCTCTTCTCTCCTTTGTGATTCTTTCTGAGGGGCATGCCTTCCTCTCACTGTGTTTAGAGAGTAGTTTTAAAAAGCTCTAGGATTTGCGGATCAGTAAGACTGCGGTATTGTGACAGCCCCATTCTCACCACTAGAGTGGGTTGCAGACTCGTCTTTATTACAAAGCTTGAGTGATCAGATACATTAAACATTAAATGTTGTTTGGCAAACTTAGGGTCTTAAAATTCCTACAGTAGGTCACTCAGTTAATGTAAAATTTTGAGACTGGTAGTTGTTGAAGATATTTTAGTAGCTGAGGAGGTTGTCACTGATTTTAGGTTTATAAAAATACAGTGCTGAAACGGTCATAGAAAATTAGAGCTATAGAGAAACTAAAGAAGCCTGTTAATGTCTCATTTGCTTCTTAATATTTTCTCTGCCTCCATGAATAGACTCTTAGCTTCATATTTTCTATATTTGGAGTCAGAGTTGCTTTGTAAAAGCATAGATTTATTATTTGAGTATTCTATTTAAAAATCACTTGAGACTTTATTGTAAATGAATGTTAAATTGCTTGACTCAGTCTTTCACTTGGCATTTTGTAGGAGTCCACTAAATGAGGATGTTTTTGCTACCAGAATAAAAAAGATGAACAGTAATGATAAAGACGTAACAGAATTACAAGAACAAATTCACAAACTTCTCTTACAGGTAAAGTGAGAGATTTTAAAAAATCAAACACAAAATTCCCATAATGATGTTTTATTTTAACATTCAGTCTTGGTAAAGTCACTTCACAAAAATAAACTGCAAGGAGAGAGATCCTTACCCTCTGCTTTCCAGAAAATTTGTCTTCCTGTTTTTGTTTTTAAGTTAAATTTTATTAATCTTGTTTTCCTTTTTCTGTGTTAAATACATAGAACATTTTTATAAGAACCCTTTGTAAGAAAGCAGACTGAGTCACAGTAAGCAATGAGATAGAGAAATTATTTCTAAATGAGAGAATTCTCGTATTCCAAGTGCTACCAGTATGCTCAGCCGCTGGGTTTTGGCTTCCATATTTTTTAAAATAATTCCAATGTTAAAGGTGGGGGCAGAGGGATGGCAGGTCTCAGTATCTCTAGTTATTACAAGGCAAAAGTAGAAAAAACTACTTGTTGGAAACAAATAACCAAGATGATTTCTACTAGAGATTCAGTCGATAAACTTGTGAAGTATTTACTGGTGGTGTCACATAGAAAACTGTTAGTCCAGTAGTTTTCAAATGTCTTTCATAAAACTCTAGGGTTCATAAAGTATCTGTGAGGTTCTTGGAAAAAAGTATGGTATATATTTAATTTGTTCTGTCTGTTCTAAACTCAGCATAAAAAACTAGAGTTATTTTCATATTTTGTTAAATTTATGGCTTTTTAAGAATTTGTTGTTCCAGAAATGCCCACCTAGACTAGAAAATTAGACTTTGCCCTTGAGAATTACTGAAATGAGAGAATTTAGAATGTCCTTCGTGCCAGCATCAGGGTTAAAAGCATGAACCTTTTGACACATCTGATTTAGGTTTTCAGAAGTGTTCATCCTGATGTGCAACTATGACATAGAACTATCTACTGGGGCTTTGGGGGAAAAATAAATAAATAAAATTAAAAAAAAAAAGAAATGTTCATCCTAATTTTCTGATGATTTTAGATGGGCTCTGAGGTGGGTAGTGCTGTCTCTCTCTTCTACCTGCCGTACACCCAGAAACTCGAAACCCGGGCCTCCTTTTTCTTTTAGCCGGTTCACGTGGGTGCCTCCAGCGGCTACGGAAGCCTGGCGAGCAGTGGTTCTCAGGAGCACCACGTCAGCGTAGCATCTTCCAGCGAGTCCAGTGGGCACTGTGCAGAGGAGATACAGAAGGAACCGGTAAGTGCGAGAATGTTGTGTTTGTACAGGTGTCATTTTCTCTTTGTGCTGTTGTCTGTGGTATGTCAGTGCTAGTTCTGCCCCTCAACACATGTGACTTCTTACTATAAGTTCTTAACTTGAAGACCTTACCTGGTAATAGACCTTCTAATCCATTTTGGTTTGGGAAAATGCCCGTAAAAAAGAAAATATCACCTTTGGAAGGTGATACTTGGGTTAATTGTGTGTTTCTAAAAATTAGCATATTGTGGACAGATTTATTTAAAATTTCATTTGTACCAGTGTACTGTGGCATGGTGGAAAGCTGAATTAATGTTATTACTGTGCTTTTGGTCATTATGTCTTCAGAGAACTAGAAATTAAATGTATTTTGTTTGTGTATATGTAATAATGTAAAAAAATTTTTATAAATTTTTGAAACATATTTTATCATTCTTTTCCCTAAGTTGACTTTGCAGCAGGTGTATGCCAGTGTAAACAAAATTAAGAACCTAGGTCAGCAGCTCTACATCGAGTCAATGACCAAATCACCAGATAAGCAAGTGATGCGGACACGCACAGGACGGCTTGGTGGTGAGTCAGCAGGGCAGCCCCGGGACCCCTCCCATGGTTACGCCCTTTTCTGCGTAGATGTAGAGAGTGTGAGCGTAAAGCCATGAACCCACTCTGCTGCTTTTCGTATCTTCTTGCCCAGAGAATAATAGTAATAACAGTAATAATGGCAGCAGCAAATACTATTCTTAAAGCTAAATGGTATTAGAATGTAGTTACAGTATACTTCTAAAGAATAACATTTCTGATAATACCAGAAAATTCATAGGTCTCCCCCATGTGAGCTATCTATAACAAAGAGTTAATTTTAGAATACATTTCAGATAATAACGTATATTAAAATAATAATCCCTTCCTGTCATCTCAAACAAGTGGAGAATATTTATGACTTAAATTGAATGAAAAACTTGGCCTTTTTCTTGATACATTTCCTTTTCTCAAATATGAGGTAAGGAACATTGCAAAGGAATTGGATCAGTCGTGATAATTGACATTATTTTGAAAAGTTAACCTATTTGCATATATAGCAGAAGAAAGTTCTATAATATAAAGATCAAATTATACTAACTTCTTAATTTAGCTGATTTTCCTTTCATTTTCTTCCTGAATATTAATATAAATTTGGAAGTCTTTATAGATTTTGGTCACCTAAATGTTATTAATGGTTTCTATTATTGTCAAATGTGAGTATTTTACACAGTAGGGGTGAAATTTCTTCTGTAAGGTCACTAATAATAATACTAATAGCAACTTTATTTGTCAGGAATTGACATGATTACACACACCATAAAATCACACTGCTGTGCCTACAAGTGGTGTCAGTGGAAGCCCATAGGACGCCCTGCAGAGACAGCAAGTCCACCCCTTTAGTTTTAGCTTTTCACCTTGGTGGGAGGTTGAGCGTTCTGTTTGTTTCTTTTGCTATAGATGCAAGGGCACAAGATAGAAATAACAACTTTTTCTGTCCCTTGAAACCATCAGATCCTCTCTCTGCAAAACAATTTATCTTAAATATCTTTCTTGCTGTGTATCATTATCCCATGTCCTGGCAGAGAACATTCTTTGATATTTTAAAGCTAGATTTCTAAATGTCTCCCTCATTGTCTGGTCCAGTCGGTGCAACTCGCTGCTGTCTTGGCCGAGGACCTCACGTTAGGGCCACAAGCTTATATCCTGACCTGTGTGTTCCTTCTCAGAGTGGAAATCCTTTCTACCTCCTGCATTATTCAGTTTCTTATCGTCATACCATCGGTTCTGTTGTTTTGAAGGCTGTGTATTTAAGCAGACATCAATATTCCATCATTCACCATTTTATAAGGTATAAGCTCTAGCTAACTCTGTGTACTTATGCTGCAGTTTTGGAGACTGAAATTCTTCTGCTCCTTAGATATATGCTCTGTTTGACTATAACACACACAGGATGTGACTTTTGGGGAGAAGGGAAATCTGTTGCCATTTGGTATAACCTTGGAGAACTAATGTTACTCAGGCATCTTGATTTTATTAATACTTTAAAACCTATAAGTTTGAAGAGCTAGTAAAAAATCTTTATTACTCTTTACTCAAGAGAAACAAGTATGCAACTTAAAAATGTTATAATTTAAATATTAGAAATTGAGTAGAGATATACACCAGTGAAAAGGAAACTACTAATAATCATTGTGTACGTGTTTTATATATAGGATGTTAGAGCCAACGAGAACATCAAGTTTTAAGTTTATATTTTTACCTTTCTTAACAAAGACAGGTTATGCTTTAAAATAGAATAAGAAGGGAAATTTTTAAAGTTAATCTGGAAGAACAAGAAGCATGTAAAGCCCCTGTGTGAGCTCTAGATACTGACACCAGCTGCCAGAGAAGGAATTGGGGAAATTAGGGAAAATTGAGTGTTCCGCTTCTAGAGTGATGCAATGCCAGAGTAAAAGAAGATGATCCAGAAACAGCTAATTCAGAGATCTGGGAAGAGCATCATTCTAAACTTACAAGGAAAAACCCAGACAAACAGCAAATTCATGATCTTTTCTGGAACCCATCTGTGTGCTGAGGTTGCAGGGCAGCCAACGGGCCTAAAATCTGAGGAGACACCTGCCTACAGGGAGAAGTGAGGGGCAAGCCCTGGGTACCGGTGCACTGCCCCACTGAACCAGGGAACCTGCAAGAGACTGACCTTCTCTGAGGCACAGTGCAAAGGGAAGACCAAAAGCTGCAAGTGGAGCAGAGTGAGGGACAAGCTCTCTACCAGACCAGCCCTACCTGAAGCACCACGTGTCACCAGAGGAGTTTGGAAGCTGTAATGCACTGAGTGAAACCATAGCAACAACAAACCTCACACCTGGCCTGAAACTTAATTCGATTAACTCACTCACAGGCCTAGCAGAAATAAGGCACACCCAGTCTCTACGGTTCTACAAAAGATGTTCAGTTTTCAACAAAGTATGAAGCATATGAAAAGGCAAGGAAAACAGACTCCCAAGAGACAAAGCAATCATCAGAGAACCAGAGTCAGATGTGACACCAAGATGTTGGAGCTATCTGACAGGGAATTTAAAATAACTATGAATAATACATTCAAGGTTCTAATGGACAAAGTAAACAATATGCAAGACGACAGGGGTGATCACAGCATAGAGATGGAACATAAAGGGTCGGACGGAGATGTTAGAATGCTAGCGATGAATATATACCCTTGATGGGCATTAACACAACCAAGAAAAGAATCAGTAAACTTGAAAATAGATAAATAGAAATTACACAAACTGAAACACAGAAAGAAACAGAATAGAGCATCTAAGCATCTTGTGACAATATCAGATGATCTAACATATGAGTAATTGGAATCCCAGAATAAATACTTGAAGAAATAACGGCTGAGAATTTTTCACAGATCCAAAGAACATCAAGTAGCGTAAATACAAAGAAAAGAAAGACCACAAAATAAAACCACACTTGAGCGTATCATATTCAAGGCTGAAAACAAAACCAAAGAGAACATCTTGAAGGCAGCCAGAGGAAAAAAGATACGTTACATACGGAGAACAAACATAAGAATTACAGTAGACATTTCTTCAGAAGCTATGCACACTGGAGGACAATAGAGTAATGTCTTCAAAGAAAAAACTCTTAACACAGAATTCTATACCTAGTGGAAAGTATCATTCAGAAATGAAGGAGCTATAAAGATTTTCTCAAACAAAAACTGTGGAAACTTATTGCCAGCCTGTCTATTTCATAAGAAATGATAAAGGAGTTTCTAAAGATAGAAGGAATGTGATATCAGACATAAAATTTGGAGTTACACAAAAAAATGAAAATCACTGGAAATGGGATGAATGAAGATAAAATAAATTTTAATTTTTTAATCTGAAAGATAACTGACTGAAACGAAAGTAGTATTCTACAGTTATAGCATATGTAAAAATACTGCAAAGGATGGGAAGGAGGTGTTGGGAATATACTGTCATAAAGTCCTTACACTATACTTGAAGCAGTATATTATTTGGAGGTAGACATTGATTCTTTAAATGTATATTGTAAACTTTAGGACAATTATTGGAAAAAGTTTTTAAAGAAGTATAAATTATGTCAGTAGAGGAGATAAAATGAAATTTAAAACACTTAAGCCAAAAAGAGGCAGAAAATGAAGAAAAAACAAAGCCAGATGGAAAAAATGGAAAACAGCTGGCAAGACTGTATATTTTAATCAACTATATCAATAATCAGTTAAATGTGAATGATCTCAGCATACTAGTTAAAATACTGAAATCGTAAAATTGGATGAAAAAACAAGATTCAGCTGCATATTATCTATAAGAACCCATTTTGAAAATAAAAACATAGATTAAAAGCAAAAGGTTAGAAAAGGTGTAACAGGTATTAAAAGCTGAAAAGCTGTATGAAGATCAGGCAGAGTAGACTTTAGAACAAGGAACGTTATCAGAGTTACAGAGGGATATCACATAATGACAAGGAGTTGATTCTCTGAGAACATATAACAGTCTTAAATGTTTATGCACCTAACATCAGAGCTTCAAAATACATGAAGCAATTAGTAAAGATAAAGTAGACCTGAACAACACTATCAACAAGATTGACTGAATTGACATTTGTAGAACACTCCAACGAACAATGTAATACATATTTTTCTCAAGGGCAAATGGAATGGTCATTAATATAGACTATATTCTGGGCCATAATACAAACTTGAACAATTTTTAAAGAATAGAAATCATACAAAGTATATTCTTTGACCTAATGGATTAAACTAGAAATCAGTAACAGAAAGGTATCTAGAAAATTTCCAAATGTGTGAAAATTAAATAACACTTCTAAATAACCTACAGGTCAAAGAGGAAGTCTCTAGGGAAATAAAACATTTTGAATTGAATGAATTGAAAAGACGGCATGAAATTTGTGGGATGCAGCCAAAGCAATGCTTAAAGGGGAATTTACAGCATTAAGTGTTTCTATGGGAAAAGGAAGAAAGGTCTCAAATCAGTAATCTAAGCTTCCTCCTTAAGAAACAAGAGAAGAGCAAGTTAAATCCAAAGTAAGCAGAAGAAAAGAAATAATAAGACCAGAAGTCAGTGGAATTAAAAACCAAAAAATGGAGAAAATTAATGAAATCAAAAGGTAATAAAAATAAAATTAACGGTGTCAACTTAAAAAGCAAATTTCCGTGTTATTTTATCTCAAAATTCGTTTATTAGGGAATAGCCAAAGAATTGTAATTCGGGATGTGTGTGCTACGGCAAACCATGGGCAAATCCAGCAAGCAAAGGGGAGCTGCCTTTGTAGAGAAAAAGTGGGAGTAGGGAGGGGCCGTTCTGAAGAAAGTCCTCTGGGGGGAAGTGACAGTTCAGGGCAGCCACAACTTCTTATCATCTGAGCAGCAGCGTTTCTCAGTGGCTGGGCTGTTGCGGGTGGGGAGAGAAATCCTCTTTCAATTGTACTTTTACTTCCTGTCCACACAGTTGTCAGTCACTCCCTGTTGGTGTAATTGACGATGTATGTTAGGGTGTGAG